CATTTTTGGTAAAAAGTGATATTTTCGACTTCTTGTAAAAAACCAATAGTCTGATTGCTTTGATATTACATATATAGGTACTACATGTGGACCTCTCTCAGATTTGTTCATTTTGTGATGATATCTTCAATTCTCTAATTTTGGTGAATATTTTTGTCATTTTTGGTAAAAAGTGATATTTTCGACTTCTTGTTAAAAACTGTAAGTCCGATTGCTTTGCTACTATACATATTGTTCATTTTCTAATGATGTCTTCAGTTCTTTAATTGAAATGTGCATTGCTAACAGCGGAGCTATCTCAGCCGATAGGCTGCTTGTGCAAGTATTAAAACACTTTATTTTTGTGTGCCATATCAAAAATTGTAGGTTACTTCATTACTTTTTAATGAAACTTAGGACATAGATGCTCTAGAACAATGCAGAGACCCGATTAATTTTGGGTAAAAATGTGTGCATATTAACTAATTTGCACAATTACTAGGGTAGTTAATTTTTGGCTTTTACGCTGATATCGTAAGTACTAATTATCCCATTTCAATGAATCTTGGTACATAGATGTTCTAGGACAATGCACAGACCTGCTCAGTTTTGGGTTAAAATCAGATTATATTAATTACCTAATTTGCATAATAATTCATAATTCATTGGTTCCAATCACTTTGTACTTAATGGTCTGTGACAGTACTTATCTTAATTCAATGAATCTTGGTACATATATACTCCAACACAATGTGATGATCTAATTAGTTTTACGTTTATATACATCTATAATAATTACCTGATTTGCATAATAATTTACTTTTCAGCTTTCCACTAATTTAGTTATGATTAATCATCACATTATAATGAAACTTTGTACATGTGCACCCTGAAATAATATACAGACTTAAATCTATGCATAATAATTGATTAATTTGTATAATAATTTATTTGGTTCATTGAGGTAATCCACAGACATGATTAGTCTAATGTTGATAAACAAACATTTTGATAATCTATTATCATTCTATTTCTGAGGTCTAAAAAATTGCTCTGGAATTAGACTAAATACCATGGATGAATAATATGTAAAATTGAGCATAGAACACTTAATCTAAATGATAAAACCGTGAATTTAAAACCTACTGAATATGCCTGAAATGCTAAATCAGTGAAATTTAAATCTAGTGAAAATTGGTCATTTTACAGTAGCAGGCAAATATTAGTTGCCAAGCTTCTCGTTTAAGAAACAAATCTTAAATTTTGGATTAATTTTAATGTGTCTCCAATACTCTCTCGGCACACTGGAGTTCTTTCTAAGCTTTCTTTTATTTATTGACAACTTCAACTTGCTAATTAATATTCCTTTCTGAATATGCATCTCAAAAAGTTAGCTAGTCAGGCTTCTAAGCGTTTACATAATAATTAAACTTATTCGTTTCCATTTTTGCTTACAGTAATGAAAGCAGCTCTGGATCCAACTCTAGTTCGGATTCAGATTCGCAGTCTGGATCTGAAAGTGGTTCTGAATCAGGAAGTCAGAATGGGAATGAAGACCAAAGCAATTCACAGTCAGAATCTGCAAATTCTGAATCACAAAGTTCAGAATCGGCATCTGAGAATGAAGATTCAGGACATGATTATTGCATAAACACAACAAATGACAACAAAACCAACTCCATTCCATCTTGTAAAATTACACTCAGTAAAAAGGAAAGACTAAAAGACCTGAAAGAGGTAGCTGCAATTTCATGCTTCATTGACGTTTGTAAAACTAATCAGTAATATTTGAAATGTTTCAAAACATGAGTGGATATCTCACCCTCACTCACTCTTTATCCTATTGCTGCAAAATCTTTTAAAGCATTCATAACCATAAGGTGTGCCAGCATCTTTGGCAGAACATCATGTTTTGTTAGTGGGTGGAGGGGTAAAGCATTTGATCTTTGGTTTACTTGACATAGTGCTGTAGGGGATTATTTTGCTCAGCCTCTGATGTATTGCAGGCACAATGGAATGTGACCTGCAGATCATTTCCTGTTTTATCACTGACCGATTTTATCTAAAGTTACTTTCATTAAGGGTTTCTTTCAAAACATGGTGTTGCCTAACAGCAACGCGCTTGAACAAAAACGCTTCACTCATTCTCACAACATCATGATGTTGTTCCATCCTCGCCTCTTTACAGATGTGGGAAGAGTTTCCAGACGTTTATGGCGTGCGAAGATCAAGCAGATCCCGAAAAGAGGTTGAACGTTTTCAGGTTAAGGTAGACCTTATATTGTTCCATGCAATAGGTGCACATCATAGCTTGGGTGATAATTGCAAAAACTAATTTTATTAATCCACTCATTAATAATTATAGACTACCATTCATTGTCATTTGAAATTTGACACGTATTTCTTTTCATGCATAATGTGCATACTTGGCTGCTTACATACTATAAGTGGAAGCAAACTTAGTCACGATGGAAAACATACTCATATCTAAGTATTTCGCTCACTGGAAAAAATTTATGCCTTCTGTAAGTAAAAACCAACTCAGTTGCTCTCCTCTCAAATAGTAGAGCTAGATTGATTTTCTTGTTTCTGTTTCAATGTGTAGGCTTCTAGTGATGAAGATGACAGTGATTATAGTGATAGTCCTAAAAAGGGGAGAGGAAATAATGCTGGAGAGAGGAACAAACGAAGGCGGTAAGTATTCAAGACTATGTTAAACACTTCTGTGTATTCATTGTTCTGCTCAGCAAGTTTTATTGTTTATCAAAAATTATATAATGCTCTGGTTGGAACACTATTAGAATGTTGTAAATAAATTTAGAAACTAATCTTGTTCTTGCGAACCAGTTACTGTGCACGTGCATGTGTGAATCTTGGATTTTGACTAGATGGTTCACTTTCATTGATTGATTGCAGTGCTGTTCATATTACTCATTGTCTGTCCGTCTTAACATTACATTTTCAACTTCTTCAAAACTATCAACTGTATGGGTTTCATACACTACAAGTAATTTCATGATGATACCTTCAATTCTCTAATTTCAGTGAATATTTTTAATAAAAAATGATATTTTCCACTAGTACTTGAAAGCTGCTTGCTTGATTTGATATTTCTTTCTTATCATGCATCTGAAATAGAGAAGCTATATTTGAGGTACAAATCTCGTAATTCTAGTGTATAACACATGATGATATACATGGGACGTAATCCTGATCATAGTGATGATTACATGTATCTGATGTTATTAGGATGCTGTGCACTACTTAGTGTTTATTACAGACCTTGTCCGGTAGAATTTTTAACTTCGCTGGAAGGGGGGATAAATCATTCAAAATAAAATCAAGGAATAAATACTTTTTTCCTATAATTTGAAGTGCATATACTGTATTTGCGCTATTAGTAGTGCATGTATAAATTATAGGTGTTTAATTTTAGGTTTACGTGTACTTTTATTGGAGATGCACTTCTAAAAGAGCAAATATAGTACTAGTAGTTTATCATGCCAAATAAAAAAACTGACTTGTTTCAACCCAATCTACTAATTTCAGTGAAATATAGTTATTCTCAGTACGGTATATCGTAATGTAATCGTCATGTTTGCTATTAAAATTCTGGAAAGAAATCTGATCAATTATTGTGTCAGTATTAGTTGTAACCCTTTGTCTTTTAAATACAGAAGTGGAGAATGGAGGACTGGACGTCTCAGTGATGACACCAGTGGTGAAAGCAGTGAATCAGACTTTCAGCCATCTACAAGGGCTAGACCAAAACCCAAGTCAAGGCAAGTTTCGAGATCTCAAGCACGGGTAAAAGGTAAGTTAGCACCTACTCAAATCTACAAGTATATAATCGTTTTAACATCAGCATTTTTGGTCTGGTTGGTTGGTTGAATATTCAATAACCTTTAGGATTATGCCCTGGTCGATCATAGTCTTAATATCACCTACCCACCCCAGGTTTTCTTACTTCTGCACATCTTTCAGGAAAATCAATGCCTAAGAGGAGATCAGCGAGCCGGAGAAAGAAAGCCTCCTCCTCTGAAGATGACGATGATGACAGTGAAAATGAAAGAAAGCGATTTATGCAAAGGAGAGCAGCTTCAAAAGTATGGTTAGTATCAGAAGTTTTGTATTTTAATATCACACGAATCATGTACAGTACAGTTCATCATTGTCGCCTACGCATGGCTTCATTGTCGCCTCAGCATCGCATCATTGTGGCATCAGCTTTGCATCATTGAAAATTGAAGCTATGTTCGCCTCGCTATTTTGTGGCATCATCGTGGCCTCAGCTTCGCAGTCTCATGGCATCAACATGGCATCAGCTTCAACTTATTGTGACATGAGTATGACCTCGTTATTTGCACGCAGAAGGGCAGTAAACAAAAACATGTACAGAAGTTCGATATGTAATCGATTTGAAATTCAAGGCGAAT